ATCACGGACACTTGCGAACACTCATTTCAGAGAAGAGAAGGCGAAGGGAGAGGAGGGAAAAAACAAAAAACAAAAACAAAAAAAAACACGAGGAGGACCGATGGAATTATGACATAATACATGCATGGCACACACAAATGCACTCAAACACGCAAAATAAATGCAATAAACATTAACATACAAACGCACAAACACACTGACGAGCGCAAATGAGCGGAAGCGTTAACGTAAATACTTCCATTGTGATTCTTATTTCCTGCCACCCCCCCCCCCTCCTTTCCCCCCTCCCCCCTCCCCCGCCATCCCCTTCGTCATCGCCGCCGGATTTGATTATCGTCATAATTCTTTGTTTCTCCACCCCCCCTCTCTCTCTTTCTTTATCTCTCTCTCTCTCTCTCTTTCTTTCTTTCTCTCTCTCTCTTTCCTCTCTTCTCTCTCTCCTCTCTCTCTCTCACTCTCTCTCTCACACACACTCTCCCACGCACTCTCTCCTCTTTCTATCTCTCTTTCTCTCCTCTCTCTCTCTTTCTCTCCTCTCTATCTTTCTCTCCTCTCTCTCTCTCTCTCAGTCTCTCTCTCCTCTCTCTCTCTCACACTCTCTCTCCTCTCTCTCTCTCAGTCTCTCTCTCCTCTCTCTCTCTCACACTCTCTCCACTCTCTCCTCTCTCTCTCTCTCTCTCTCCTCTCTCTCTCTCTCTCTCCTCTCTCTCTCTCTCTCTCACTCTCTCCTCCCCTCTCTCTCAATCTCTCTCTCTCATTCTCTCTTCTCTCTCTCACTTACTTTCTCTTCTCTCTCTTACTCTCCTCTCACCCTCACTCTTCTCTCCCTCTTTCTCTTTCCCATTCTCTCTTTCTCTTTCCCATTCTCTCTCTTTCTCTTTCTCTCTGTCTCTCTCTTTCTCTTTCTCTCTGTCTCTCTCTTTCTCTTTCTCTCTGTCTCTCTCTTTCTCTTTCTCTCTGTCTCTCTCTTTCTCTTTCTCTCTGTCTCTCTCTTTATCTTTCTCTCTGTCTCTCTCTTTATCTTTCTCTCTGTCTCTCTCTTTATCTTTCTCTCTGTCTCTCTCTTTATCTTTCTCTCTGTCTCTCTCTTTATCTTTCTCTCTGTCTCTCTATGTATCTCTGTCTCTGTCTCGGAATAAGCAATCGCAGGAAAACGTTTCAATATTAGTAGCAGTAACAGAAGCAGCAACGGTAGTAATGGCAGTAACAATAGTAGTTCAAGTAGTAGTAGTAGTAAAAACAGCAGTACTAGTGGTAGTACTAGAAGCAGTAGTACTAGTAGTGGGAGTAGGAGTAGGAGTAGTAGCAGTGGCACAAGTAGCAGCAGCTGTAGAGGTAGCAGAAAAATAGAAATAACAATGTTAGTAGTATTAGTAGCAGTTGTTCCAGTCGAGGCGGGAGAAGTGGCAACAGCTGTTTGCTGTTCGCAGAGTTATCGCATCCACTTGTGCTGCAACACCTGCATCCATTTTGACAGAATCACGGCAACAAGAAGCACTTGCACGTAACGACAGCGCACGGCGAGCAAGTAAACGCCAGGCTGCGTCCTCCAGAGCCGCAGCGCACTGGGCGGCGTGGCACTCGGGCGAGAGGAGAGCCATGTGGCCCGCTGACGTCACCGCCCGCAGCCTTGACTCAACCGCGAATTCCACGCCGCGGACTAAAAACAAACGCCAGCCATCCATCCTTGTCACTCGCACCAACGCGTGCGTTTTGCCGAAAAGGGTGACCGGACACTTTTCTTGTGGCCTGTTCGGGGCGCAAACAGAGGCTCACTTTGTGACGGATAACGCGTAATAAGTTTGTGAATCATTCCCTGACTGCGTCAGTCTTGCAAGACGGCCCTTATATATATGTGTGTGTATATATATATATGTATATATATATATATATATATATATATATATATATATATATATATATATATATATGTATATATATATATATATATATATATATATATATATATGTATATATATATACAAAGATACTTATATAGACAGGTTAAATGCGACTTGTCCTTCCTTCCCTACTTTGAGGTCCTTCCTCCGCCCCCCACCCGCGCCCTGACCCCGCCCGTAGCCGAAGCAGGCCCACTCGGCCCTCGGGTGGGCACTCCCGCATGCCCTCCTCGAGCCGCCTCCCGGCTGCCTCGCCCGCCCCGAATCGCTCGCACAACTCGGCCATCAATCACAATCAGTGAAAAGGATCCGTAAGAGGGCGCTGTGACGTAACGACTCACCCACTGTGATGTAACGCATCACCACCCCCCCCTTCCACTAACTGAGCTAATGATAGAGTTTAGACCAGTAGTTCGTAACCTGGGGGAGGGGGTGGGTCAGTAATTTCCAAGGGACGCGATACTGAAGACAAAGACTAAGAACACATTTTTAATTTCCATCAAAATCTGGGGGGGGGGGGGGGTTGATGCACAGACGCGCGGAGGGAAGGACAAATTCCTGGAGGAGGCGAGGCGGTAAAAATATTACGAATCACTGGA